CACTAACATATAAACAAGTAGATTTTTTAATTTTGTATAATTCCTATGTAATCCACTTGTCTATATATTACTGGACCATATAGAAATTCATAAGGAGCTTCCTCGATGGAAGTTTTTTCCTATAAAAATTACATGCTCACGTTGACTAATATAATTATTATTGTTGACATATTAGTTAAATGCGAAGTGACTTGTTAATTGAACTAATAAATGATGATTTAACACAATATAACGATAAGTGAGTCAGATGGTATATGAGATATCGTGTACCAAATGATTCTTAAATTGTTTACCATTATATAATTTTTTTGGTACTACAATTTTATAATTAAATATATGAAAATGAGTCAATTTGAACTATCAAAAAGTCAAAAGTCTAAAAAAAAAAACGAGTATAGCTTAGCTGTAATTGACATATAAATCCCACCTTACAGTCGTACTAAAAAAGAAGTCAGAAGTCTCTCCACATGTTTTTTATACATATATATGTTGGGTGTGAAAATAAATAATTTTTTCACTAATTATTTTATAATTATATATACCTCAAACCATTACAGGAGCCTCTTTTAAAAAAATACTTTGAAAATCTTAGAAAATTAAAGAGAAAAATGGAGATCTATTTCCAAAATTGACTATTTTTAGTTTTAGAAAGTTTCCTAATATACTAAAAACCGGTTTTTTTATAAAAAAAAAAAAAAAAAAACTCCAACCTCAAGAGAAACTCACAACATAATTCATCAACGTTAATTTTTATTTTTATTTTTTTAATACGAATGAGGGATCGATATTCTCGCTTTGACTCGTTAATTTTGATTATTATACTAAAAAAATAGCCAAAACAAATATTTCCAAGAACTCAAATGAAAAAAAAAAAATAGAACGTTTTGAAAGTGGCCCAGCGGATTATTACTTGAACCAAATTTCACCTATCGAATGGATGATATTTATAATGAAACCACGGCTCAAGGGGGAAGCGGCGGCGTCAAATCCATGGTCAATTGTGGCCGAACCTGAAATTCATCTTCCTACAAATCCCAAATTATCTACAAATTGAATCGATTGCACATTTTTACCAAAATCTCTGTTCTTCGATTCACTTCTCCATCAAAAAACACTCAAATTAATGGCTGCCATTAAAGCCCTAGTTCCGTTACTTCTTCTCGCTCTTCTCTTGTTCTCTGAATCCCTAGCCACTTCCGCCGCCGCTCACGGCGAGCCTTGGAATTCGCCCTCCGGAATGCTCTGCCGGAACATTCTTCAGACGGCGGCTCATCGGATTGCAGATAACGGTGCAGAGTCCTCTTCCGGAGGGAAAATCAACGTTCATATCAAAAAGGGGATCGGATCCAGACCTAGAGTAATTCCCGGCCGTCGTACACCGACGGTGAAGCGAATTCCCGGCCGTCGTACATCGGCGGCGAATCGGAGCCGAGTAGCATTCTTCGGCGTCGGATCACTGTGTATCTGCATTTTTTTCGGATTGTTCGTGTGAATGATTTTTTTTTTCTGTGTAAAAATTGGATTCAGATTTATTTATTTATTTGATGAAATACTGGAGTGTATGTATGTATTTTATTTTTTATTTTTTATTTTTTTGGAAAATACTGGAGTGTATTTGTTTTTTTTTTTAATTACATAGTCTATAAAAATTTCACTAGTGTCCATTTTAGACAAATATTTAAATATCTGTACTGGCCCATTTATGATACATGTCCGTAAGAAAATATGTCCCAATAGATATCTTATATCTGTGATGGTGGACTGGTTAATGTATGTATTTTCAATAAAATAGATATCTTATATTTGTGATGGTTGACTGGTTATTGTATCTATTTTCAATTAAAAAAATTTGAGTTTGAATTTTTATGTACAAGTTGTATAAAAAAAAAAAAGAAAAAATAGGTATTTTATATTTTTTAAAAATGAAAAAAATTGAGAAAGAATCGAGAAGAGAAATTTGGGAAAGAATGGAGGAGAGAGATTTATTTCCACCGTGAGATTCAATTGCCATAGAGGCCTCCGATTCGTGGAATCTCTTCACTAATGTTGAATCTGTGGGAAAAGATATACGAATTTTTGAATTATGGCAGCAGTAAAAATGTTTGATATTAAGATTTTATCATTTAATACGAATATTCTATATTAATTAATATTTATACATTCTAAAATATACTATTTATTGAGAGCTGAGAACCACAAAAA